GTAAATTTCTTTCATATTCAGGTTTTACTGGAAATGACATCAACTTCCGATTGTCAAATGGAACACGCTGTATTTTATTCCATAATCGGTTAGAAATATAATGGAACATTTTGTGCACAGTTGAAGCCGCCAAGACAATAGGTACTTCTCCTTTCAGCTGTGCCATGATTGAATCCAGCAGAGAATTGAACTGATTTAGGCTGACTGACGAAACTCATCCGCCATTTTGTTTTTTCTCCTAACAATAATTTCATGATGCATTGTCACCAGTGTTATATACACCTGCCAAATCCCAAATCAATCGGACGTGTTGAAGTCGTATGTCATATTTAACTTGCAAGATTTGATTACACAAACACAGACAAACAGCTAGACACCAGGACAGGTGAAACTAAATGAAAGCTCGTAAAATAGGGTAATTCAGTTTAGGCATTTATCGAAACCACAGTTAACACATCATGCTATCGCCATCTAGTGGCGTTAGTTCTAAGGTAGGGCCATACGGTCGCGGCATACACTGTATGGCGCTGCCATCTATAGTCAACACGTGCAGAACCCTACGTCTATAACGCTGCAAAGTGGTACTACCAGTAAACCGCTCTGCTGACATGTGTTTATTATTTTTTCCAACACTAGCTATGAAACCTACCATTATTTACTCCTTTTCGAGGCGTGAAGTGTGTTTTTACTACTAAGGTTTCGTCATCTTATGAACCACTAATCAATAAAGGCATATAGCCACCTCTGTTGTAATTAACCTGAATTCACTGTTCTGATACGAGATTTGCAGGAATGGCACCCGAATCTATTAGGTATTAATCAATAATGACTTGCTCATGGCCACTAGATTTTAATCAGAATTGAAAATAAGTGTCTTTGTAGTGACAGTAGGTCCATATTTCAGTTTCACAGAACTAAAATGATGGAAATGTATTGCTAGTGGTGAAAAAAAATCAATATACACCTTGGTAGCAAAGAATATCATTATCACGATACCGCTCACGCCACGGCTGAAGCCTTGGGATATAATCTTGGTCCCTGGGTAATACTGATATTCTTTACTACCTTCCCAGGTAACACGGTACTCTCCGCGATATCTCTAAGTAGTTATCTTCGGGATCAAAATGCGAAATCCTTCTGCGAGGTATCAAAGATCACTATAGGCTGTCACCATGGGAAATACTCTCTGGAGTCGTCCGAAAGAAATCGCGGAGATATCGCCTCAGATTTGATATATTCCTCATTATTGCGAATCCTTGAGGTTATCTATAACAAGAAATGAATAGGCATTTCTTTCTGCGAGCACCCAAGGATATCCTGGACGTAACAAGATCGAGAATTTCCCATTGCGAGCTCCTAAAGTAATCACAAACATAACCTGAATAATTAATGAATATTCCTACAAAAATATTGAGCTGTTTTTTTCAATAGCCTTTATAATTCAAATACTAGGTGTCCCAAGTTATCGTTTACAGGCAATATCTCGCTTATTTGTCAAGATATCAAAAGCATTAAAAAACTGCATTAAATGGCATTGAATAACCTTCCTAATGGCTTATGAAGAATGTGATATATTTGGCAGCCCCCGGATCGTAGATACTGATCTAGTAGCATATTGTCTCTGAAAATTGCGTGTCAATCTATTTGGAATACAACGATATAGCACATACTTTGTGTTTTGTTCTTGATAACAACAAAAACATGAACATTTTGTGACTTTTTTACGTTACTCAAATGACAAATTGTTTTCACCCATGTGTTCAAGAAGTTCACAAATAAGAAGTATGGATTGCATTTTTGTTTCAAAATATTAATGACAGATATTCCATTTTGAACTGCAGAACATCAATCATTGCAGACGGTACCTACCTAGTGTAATAATTAATCTAATTTCATTGTGGGACATTTTTACGAACATGGGAGGAGGCAATTTTCAATCGATGTAACGTAAATGAGGTCAAAAAATTGTATTGTTAAAGTTGTTATTAATGAACAAAATACAAAGTACCGATGTGCTATCGTTCATTCCCGAAATAGGATGATTGGCAATTTTCAATGACAATATACAGGGAGTCCATTAAATGAAAATTGAGGAGTTGCTACCAGGTGGCTGTCCAATCTTATACACTTTTTTTTGAGTAATAAAGAAAGTTTTCTGATGTCATTCGAAGCATTTTTACTATTTTTTGTTCATCTTGTCGATTAAGCAAGTTTTTGACGGTACCTTTACGATAACTTGGGACACCCAGTATTAACATGAAATGGGAGTCATTAATCTATGATAATAATAATTGTATACTAGATACTAGATTTTCTTACTGATTATTTCAAATTTTGCAGTGAATTAATGATAATTAATTATCTGCTCTGACGAAAAAGACAAAAATGTTCTAATTCAGGTGGGATCGAGAAACAAATATCTACCTCAAATTCGTGGGTAGATATCGGACGACCTTTTTTTTTAAAGGATACCCGGCTAACTCCTCGGTGATTTTTTCAAGTGATAAAGTTTACTTGATCAATGTCTTGCTATAGAATAATATATAATTAAAGCTCATTACGTTGATCTAACTCTAAGTTTGGTAACTCAATCTTTTTCGCTGAAATAAATATCCAGTGAATTTAACTCCACCCCAAACAATATAGCTGGCGCTAGTTAGACTTCGCCGACAGGAGACTGCTGATAACCAATGACTTCTCAAACATTGAACACCTTACCATATTAGTGGCGATCATGTGGCGATTGATGCAAATATCGCTCTTAAAGGCCTCGTTATAAGGTGATGTGCACGGATTCTTGAACAATTCATAGTTGCGAGCACTTGAAGAGTTCGCTATTAGTAATTGATGCGAATTTCCCAAAGTTCTCTTCACAAGGCGATGCGTGCGAAAATCTCAAACAGCTCTTAGTCGCGAGCACTTAAAGACCTCGACAGAAGCAATTGATGCGACTCTCCTAATGTCCTCGTCACAAAGCAATGTATGCGAATTTCTCAAACAGCTCATGATTGCGAGCACTTTCAGTTATCGCCAGTGGCGATGGAAGCGTATATCTCAAAGTGCGCGCCTGAGGGCATTGTATGAGAATTTCTGCGTGCGATATCTTCAAGACCTCGCTGAGCTCAGCCTAGGTGGCGGACATTTGGCATAGATATAGCACTCTCGGCGATCTCTCAAAGAAGTTACAAAAGGCATCACAATTTCCTAAAAGGATTTCTTCAAGATATCTTTAGGACCTCTTTGTGCTGGCTGGGTTGGTGTATAGATAACTATTTTTTTTTTCAGACTTGAGGAAACGATTGAGTATTAGCGATGAGAAGGAAGAGCTGCCAATGGAAAGCGACACTCAGCCCAAGACTTGCATGTCCTTGTCTATCCATTCTCCGAGAAAGGGAAAACTATGAGAGCGACCGTGAAAAGTTTGCAAATCGAGAACAAGAGACTGAAGAAAGGGAACGAGGAATTCGAGGCCAGATACAAGAAGATTGGAGGATCCAGGGAAGATCAAGATCGAGAAGTCTGATAGTGGCCAAGAGGCAGACGATATTCCATAGAATTGCAGTTGGAAAACTTTGAAGAAAATAAATGTTCTATCTTCCTTGTTTGAAGACTCTCAAAAGCTTGCGTACCGAGGGTAAATCTTGCACAAGTTTGAAGCGAGAAGGCCTGAAATGAAACTGCTGAACCATTTTACAACCAAAAAAGAAGTTTCAATGTGTACCTACCTGAATTATCGAGGTATGGGATTTGAAGATAAAAAATCTTTGAAAGAAACTATCGCATGTCACAGCTGTGAGCATGATCGGTGATAACTAAAAAAACATTCCTTGTCTTCTTTATTGCCCTGAAAGTTTCTCCCTACCCCCGAATATTCCTACATCTCCCCAAGCAGATCCTGAAGTATCAAAGCTACAAGATATACTCCAGGTAAGGCATTTTACATTTTAGCATGAACGTGATAAAGTGTGTGGTTTCAAATGACCAATATGATCGCTTAACATCCCTGACAATCTCTACAAATCAGAGTTGTACTTGATTTTTCGAATCTACTATACTTTTATTATGCAGGTGTTCTTCAAATCTAGTTTCAATGGGTCTCCTAGTCTGACCCACATATATTTCGTAAATTGAAGCTATCGCTATTAGGATAGTGGACTTGTAGTGAATAATTGGTATTCCATTGCTCCACTGTGTCGTTATGGACCTGAATTGACTTTTGCAACACTTCTTACGCGGTTTGAAGATAGATGATGTGTCCATGTATTGTTCGAAATTGTTGAATTTCAGAGCTCATTTCAAACGTGCAGTCATGGCCGCCATTTGGCCTTATGAGATACGTGACGGCAGCTCTTATGTTGTTTCATTATTGGCCAGATAATCTTTCATTCCCACCCATAAAGCAGTGATTATAATCAAGTTATCAAAAAGTTATTAGAGCCCTGTCGTTAAACAAAACTACATCCAAATTAAATATTTCATTCGACCTAATAGGAGAAAGCCATGGTATTATAGTTATTCATTTGTAACTTTTTCGAGCAAGCAGCTTGTCAAAATAATTCTTATACCTCATAACAAAACATCATGAAAATGATGGCTAGAGACTTGGCAATGCTGTGCTGAATACTGAAAACTGACAAGACAACGCCCACAATCCTGTGTTGTCACGTTCACCGGACAGAATGTCCTCTGGTGTGAATGAATATAATTATTATTGACACAAATCCATCATAAGCAATGAGACACAACACTTATTAATAGTTCATATTCGTATTTCAACATATGGCAATTGTGCTATGGTCTACCCTTACTTACAAAATCGTGACGTCAGTTTTCATTTATTTCTGGCCATTTGAAAGTTATCGTGGCAAATTTGATGATTTTAACACCTCAAAATCGTCCGAAAAAATTTAGAAAAATATGGAATTGAAAGGTAATTGAGTGATGATTCTATTTACAAAATACACTTGCCACTTTCGGCACGAAAACAAGAAACATGGATAAAATTCCACACAAAACAAACACTACCTATATATTTTTAAAATGTATATTAAAGAAACGTTGACCAATACACAACATTGAGAATCAAGAAGGAGAACGGAAAAAAGAATCTTGAGAATTGATCGATGCACAGAGCTATGCTCCTCCCATCGCAAAAAGTGTCATATTGCGGTTGGCTAGCGGTGCTGTATCTAGGCCGTTCCATTCCCTGAAAATTAGACTTCCCCAATTTATTAGAATAACCATGGCCTAACATCTCAAGGAGAAAGAAACGAGGAGAGAAGATCCCAAAGAATCAAGTAAAATGAATGAACCACCTCCTCGATTAAACCACAGACAGTATTTGAGAAAGAATTGGATATATACAAGAGTATTTTCCTTCAATGAACTCAATATAAACACCTGGAAGGGACACGGCCGTTCTCTCGAATGGCACAAAGTGTGTCAGGGCGTTACCACCGATACAACAAGGCCTGCATGCTCCGTGGGTGACGTCACTTAGTGAGGCCTAACCAGCGGCTCGAAACGACAAGCGCTTATAGCACTATAAGGCGACCGCGTATTTCGATTTTAGTTTTAGATCATCATTGAGCCGATTTTGCTGTTTTTTGAAGGGCTTCCGGTTAAAAAAGGATGCCAGTCGTCAACTGAGCCCTTCTTCGCACCCCATTCAATTTTATTATGGAAAACCGAAGTTTTAAAGCAAAAACCAGGATAAAACACAAATATCCACCTACAGCAACCCATTCGAATTAAATATATTGGCAAAAATTGTGGTGAAGGTAAACTTCACACCTACTTATACAGGGCCCGCAGAGCATAAACTTATCGTGAGATTGATCGAAAGAAAATTGTGTATTGCAATTTGATCATTGGAATGAATTCTGCATTCATTGCCACGAGGCAAATGACCATTTTCAGAAAGAAATTTGAGAATGAGAATAAGAAATGCCCGTTTATTATGAACATTCAAGGAAATTTCCTCGAATTCAGAGATGATTTTGTTGACTCAAATATACGAATACAAAACTAACTGCACAATCAAAGCTTTTCTATTTTTCCTCTACTTATACTTTTTATGAGAGAGTAATTGTCTTCTATTATTAATTCATCATTATAAATTAAGCTCTGTTTACTACTGAACTTAGATGGAGTAAAATCTTCGCTTTGAATTGCATATACCCACATTTTCGATAGCTCCTCGACCAACGGGAAACTAAAAGCATGAACTTTTGAACCACCCACATAATTCCCCCGACAAAAAGGAACACAACACTTGAAAGGCATTGTTATTTCGCCGATCACAACACAAAATATTTCACAGAACAGTAATTTTTCCGCCAATTATTTTGATGAATAAACAACAAAAGAATTCGGGACCGTTTCAAAAACATACGTGAATTAATATGAACTGACGCGTTAGTCGACAAGCGATAAAATAAAACACTGGCCTCTCTTTGTGACGTCACGAGCTGTTTACGTCAGAGTCTGCTGGCCTTGTTGTATCGGTGGTAACGGTCAGGGGCAGCTGCAACAAAGATATAGCTTGTTTCACGTAGAGTGACTATCTGATGTTCATTGTCTTCGGTTAAGTGAAATATATATTCATTTGGCGTGTTTTGTTTAATCAATACTCAGACGAATAAATTTCTTTTATTCGTCTGAGAATCAAAAGGACTGAATTTGTTGGTGTGAACACTGTGAACTGATTGTTGAGCAGGTTTGTGATTTCATATTGATAAACAATGGTGGTTTATTGTCTCGCCTTTGGTTGCAAGAACGAGCAAGACAAAATGAAATTGTCATTCTATGGGTAAGTTGAATATTGTTCAGATTTTTGGAAATTATTGTTCTTGGAATGATCATCAGTTAGTTACAATGTTCCCAGTCTCAGAATATGTTTCAAAACTATACCTACATTATTTGTCAAAGTTAAATACTTCCATGACTTTTCCATAAACATATTAAGTATAATATTATTTGTTGAAGTCTTCCATTCAAAAGACCAGGCATTCTTGAATTATGGATTAAGGCAGTTCGTAGAGAAAATTATTGGACTCCATCTAAAACCAGCAAGCCTTCTCTGCCAACTGATTATTTACTCTAGACATATCAGGTACTGCTAGATTATTGAAACCAGGTGCTGTACCCAGTATATTTTTATTTCCTGAGCATTTGTTACCAAAAAATGCTGATCCTTGCAGGAAGATAAGAAAACTCGTATAGGTGCCTAGTGGATTAATATTAAAAAAAAGTATGTTTGCACCTCTTTAAAATAAAAAACTAGCTAGTAATTTATTTTCAGGATGCATATGTGGACGTTCATACCTTGGATCCTAAGGAAGATGTTTCTCATATTATGGATTTTGATTTGCCTACGACTTCCATCAGCTCCCAAGTTTCGAAGTTCATTAATAAAGAAACCCAAACTGTTCCATTTGATAAGGATATTGTATTGAGAATTGTATTTTTTCAATTTCTTATAGAAATATGTTTGAAGGCAGTGACCTAATGGAAAAATTAGAACCTATTGAAATTATGCTCCAAAATGGACCTTAGGTACTCAATACCATTCAAGAACCTCTTTTCAAATTTTTCCTATCGTTTTTTCCTTCTGATAGTGCTGAGACATTGGGCTTCGCTCACCCTGTACAATATATTGTGACATTTGAAAAAATATATTATAATTTCAATTTTGTATTCATTTGACTTCCTGATCCTGTTAGAATAAAAATGAAATTTCATTGTCAAGTCAATAAAAACATCGAAAATAATTTTTCAATGATAATTGATTGCAACATTATCCTTTTTCCTAAATGAATATTTATATTTATTCACGTTTACTCTTAAATGAAAGCAAAAAACGAGAAAATATTTCAAATAATGCGAGCGCTTCCCATTAGCTAAGATAGAAAGAGATAGGTATCCGTTAACACTGCGGGTTGCCTGAACAATATTTGCCTCACTCGTCTTTCACAAAGGGTCCCTTCCAGGTGTTTATATTGAGTTCATTGCTTTTACTGACCTAAAATAACCTAACTTAACATGACCATCGATCTTATGACAGTGACTCATAAACATAATGGTACTGTTTCAATGTCACTTCGTCTGAAAAATATTTTCGGTACCTCGGAATATACAGGGTCAAAGGTATTTAAAAAACTTACCACATATTGCTCGGAAAACAATCAGATTCACATATGTATGAACTTGCTCAGTTTGAGCTCTAGACGGCTCCGAAGTTACAATTTTCTAATCGCATTTACGTATTCAACGTATTATGAGATATCCTTGAGGCGATACAAATTGACTGTCATAAATGAGATATTTCCTCTCCTTGAGACAAAGATAATTTGCTTGAGATAATGGTTCTATGATAGGTTATTACCCAGGCAACCAGATGACGTTTCAGTGACGGTCTTTTACGTCAGTTGAATGACCAAGGTGACATCAGAAGTTGACGTCGTATGACGTGATAAATGACGTGATAAGTCACAGCCTAATGACGTCAAATTTCTTACGTTTATTGACATCATTCACTCACCAACCTGTGACTTCGGACTGACGTCAAAATGACGTTCGAATTTTGTGATGACACGTAAAAAAGTTTCCTCAAACATGGTGTGATAATCACTACTGACCTCTGATGACATATAATATTGATTAGGCATTTTTGAGTCTGCTTGGTGGTCCCTCCGGTGTCATGTCCATTTAATCGTCTATTCAGCAGCGCTATCTCTTAGTACGCATCTCCATCAGAATGAAATCAGTTACTCGTATTTGTATGTAGGCGAATTTGGCTTCACTTTGTTGAGCAACGTATATTCATGCATTATTTGTCACCCAATAAAAATCTAAATAGAAAATTATTGAAAAATTTTCTGAATGACGAAGCTCAACAAATTGGTACGTCACAAAGACGTGACTTTTAGACGTCATAGATATGTCACTGCAACGTCATAAAGATGACGGTTTCAATATTGGTACAACTATATTATAATTTGTATATATACATATATAGCTTGATTGGTTTCCGAGATATACAGGGTGTCAAAGTTTAAAAAAGTTTTCTCTTACTTTTTGGGTATATATAATTCCAATAAAACTTGCATGTTGATTTGTTTTAATGAATTATATTTCTATCGACGATAAGAGCATATATACAGGGTGTTTCAGTTTTTTGTGGCAGGACTTTAACAGCTTGAAGAAGACATTTTTTTAAGATGAAAATCTCAGACAAACATATATGCGTGGGAGCTTCGTTTCCGATTTACAGGGTGTCAAAGTTCCAGATTTTTTTAATGTTTTTTGAATTTTTTCCTACAATTTTCGGAATAATTGATTGAAATTTGGTACACCTGATACACTTCAAAAACTCAATATTTGGAGTATTGGGCGTTTTTGAATACCTACAGGGTGATAGACTTTCAGGGGTCGTACCCAATTTAACCCTGTTGAACTTTTTTTCGTGCCGCCTCTGCTTTCAATGGGACATAGATTCAGATTGTCTCTGCAATTTGGAAACTTTTTGCCTCCATGTATGTTTTTCGAAAACTGTATGGATTTCGAGATAAATAAAAGTAGAATCCGAACCACTTCTAACCGTCAGAAGCGACAGTCTATAGCTATGTATAGCGCCTAGACCGTGTGAAGTAGAATCCGAACCACTTCTAAGGGTACTGATAAAATTATAACTGCCGTTCACGAGATTAAATTATTAAAACTCACAACACCTCAACCGTCAGAAGCGACATTCTATAGCGATGTATAGCGCCTAGACCGTGTGAAGTAGAATCCGAACCACTGCTTCTAAGGGTACTGATAAAATTATAACTGCCGTTCACGAGATTAAATTATTAAAACTCACAACACCTCAACCGTCAGAAGCGACAGTCTATAGCGATGTATAGCGCCTAGACCGTGTGTCATACAGTCCCTGATGATATCGAATGTTTAACCAGTTTCAGTTATTCAGATTTTGCAATCCAGTTAGAGGAGTTGTTTTAAAATAAAATCATTTTTTCTTTGTTTTTCCTAGTTTTAATTATAATGGTGTTCAAAAAATTCAATCTAATTTCGCAACTGAATTTCATTTGGTATGGAAGCTTTCGGTCATTCTATTTTCCAATAAAATGTTTGAGAAATGTCAAATAACTGTGTTTGAGAAATAACGGTTTTATTACAAGTAATTTATTTTTGGCATTTATCTCGAGATCCATACAGTTTTCGAAAAATTTACATAGGGGCAAAAAGTTTCCAAATTGAAAGGACACGCAAAAAAGTTTTACAGGGTTAAATTGGGTACGACCCCTAATAGTTTATCACCCTGTAGGTATTCAAAAACGCTCAATAGCCACAAATATTGAGTTTTTGAAGTGTATTAGGTGTACCAAATTTCAATCAATTATTCCGAAAATTGTAGGAGAAAATTCAAAAAACATAAAAAAAATCTGAAACTTTGACACCCTGTAAATCTGAAACGGAGCTTCCACGCATATATGTTCGTATGAGATTTTCATCTTAAAAAAATATCTTCTTCAAGCTGTTAAAGTCCTGCTACAAAAAACTGAAACACCCTGTATATATATATACAGTATGATGCAAATGTATGAAATAAATTCATTTCAAAACAAGACGACTTCCGAAAAAAATCTAAAAAGTAGAGTTCAGAACTTTTTTATCGATGTATTTTTACCAACCAAATGATAATCCATTTTAATTTCAATCTTCTTTTGCAAAATTTTGACTATTGGATAGACGATCAGTAGACCTTTCAAACGAGGTGTCACATGACCCCTGTTTGTATTTAAAAAAACCGTCCATTACGTCATTACTCCAACACCGGTGACGTAACATCTCTCATATGAATGTCATGAGATGAGGTTTCAAAAATTAAAACTCACGTGTTTTTGGAATTTCTTCAAATGTCGCCCATTTCTGAAATAATGAATTTATTCCATACATTTGCACCATACTGTATATAAAATTACTAAGACGTACATGTTTCTATATATCTGTGTAAAATTAATGAAAAAACGATTTTTCTGAAAACTTCAACATTGAAAATGCCCATCCTGTATATACAGGTACGTCACAAACCTAACGGTTCCACACGATGATCTGAGTATACATGGTTTAGATATGGTCTGGGAAACATGGACGTCGACAGGACGTGCCTGCAATGTCATGAAACTGACGTCTTATTTCTAAGTGACGTTTACTCGACGTCGAGATGATGACGTGATTATCACGTCATGGAAAGTACGTCATATATAGTGACGTCATAAATCGGTGTGTGACGTCTCTGACGAAAAAACACCAATAAGGACGTCACAGTGACGTGATCATTCGTCATCTGGTTGCCTGGGAACGCCTACGACTGTACTACTTGACACTAACTTTGTATTCGATGACGTCAGAATCGAGCTCCTCATCTGAGTATCCTTTCATCGCCTTGGTGGCTACGGGGCCCATGTAGTTATTGACCACGGCGAATTCCATCAGGGACATAAAGACGAATACTGAACAGCTCGACATCCACACGTCGATGGCTTTCACGTACGAAACAGGCGGTAGGGATTGCTGAGATTGGGTGTTCTGTGTAGCTGAGAATGAAAGAATGTTTGTTTATTTTTCGCCCGTACAGGATGGCTGGAATTCGAGCACCATCATTGGACAAGGCGGTTTGTCCAGGAATGAATTCGACTGAAGCGCTCTCTGGTGCCTGTCTATGTCTATAATAGGCGGCAAATTTGAAAGTAATTTAACGATAATATTAATAGTATTCAACAACATGAAATAAAATGAGACTTCATTCTAAACGAACTAACCTATTTGTAATTGCAATATTTTTTGAGGAAAGAAAACCAGAATGAAGTTGAAACACATTGTACAACAATATGCAATTCTTTAAAAAAATTAATAATATGAGATTATATTTCTTGAACGTTGAAAGTTTTTCTAAAATTATTTTATATACAGAGTGACCCATTTGAAAGCGGGCCACCCCTGTATCTCACGTAATCGTTGAGTAAGGATCATGAAATTTGCTGGAGCGAGATATATACCAAAAATGCACTCTATAACCAAGTGGGGTCATCTTCAGTGATATACACTGCTCGCCAACAGCCATGGAACCACCCCAATTTCCTGAAAATGATATTAGGAGTCAAAATAGGTTGAAAATCACTTCGGATTCGGAATCAGGACGCCCAATTCACTAAATATTCATATTTCTCCTTGAAAATTTTCAGTTCTGAAACATTAAGTTTTGTCGCACTTTTCATGGAAGCACCCCCGTATCTCACGTAATTATTGAGGTAGGGTTCTAAAATTTGCAGGAGGAACGGAAAGTCCAAAGATAAAGTCAATTACGTGAGATACGGGGGTGCTTCCGTGAAAAGTGCGACAGAATTTAATTTTTCAGAACTGAAAATTTTCAAGGAAAAATATGAAGAGTTAGTGAACTGGGCGTCCTGATTCCGAATCCGAAGTGATTTTCAACCTATTTTGACTCCTAATATAATTTTCCGGAAATTGGGGTGGTTCCATGGCTGTTGGCGAGCAGTGTATATCACTGAAGATGACCTCACTTGGTCATAGAGTGCATTTTTGGTATATCTCTCGCTCCAGCAAATTTCATGATCCTTACCCAACGATTACGTGAGATACAGGGGTGACCCGCTTTCAAATGGGTCACAACTGTATATAAATATGGTAGGTAAGTATTGTTGTTTCCAATTCAAACTTTTATATTGGTTACGTTCACAAGGTTGAAGTATAGGGTTTCGCTCACAACTAGCTTTCAAACAGGGAGAGAGGGGTGAGTCGTAGAATTTCACCGGGTGATGTTATTTTAGGGGCGCCAACAGATTCACATGTCATGTATGTATACATACTTGACAAGTAAAAGAGTAATCGAACCTATAAGATTTACTCTATGATATGGGTAACCAAATATATCTATCTATAAATGAACCCTAACAGGTATTAAAAGAAGAACACGCCAATTCGATATATAATCAGTGTGATATTGAGAGTGAGTTTTTTCTTGAACCAATCGAACATCCTGGGGTATTCGAGCACAATACTAAATAACTACTTAGCTACATAATCTCTACATGGTTCCCGTGTGACTCTTGCGAGAGTTACTTGAAAAAATCAATCGACGAATGACACATATTATCATGGCCACTTTGTTCCTGCAAGTTGGCGATTCCAAATTTGAAATCCGACGTTTCGTTTTCCAGCAATTATCATTAACTTTTTCTTCAGTACGGACCTGGATTTTTCATTAAATTTTTTTACACCTTTGAATATCCCAAAAGCTATGAGCTAACACAAATTTTTATTTTCGAATGTTTCGTCTACAAAATTTGACATTTTTTGTATTTTTCTATAATTCAATTCAGAACTGTCAATTCTTTCAAACAAAACATTCAAAAATCAAAATTTGTGATAGCTCATAGCTAGCTAGCTTTGAAAACGCCAACTCGTAAGAAAAAGTGGTCAAAATAAAATGTAACTCATTTCGATTGATTTCTACGAATAACTTGAGATGAACAATATCGATGGTTTTAGGAAATTCCGGCCTTTTTCGGATTCATTCGATAGTATTCTAAATTTTCCAAGAATCAAAACGGCATTTTGTTAGGCATAAAATTTGTGGCATTGAAAATCATCTACCGAGACGCACGTAAAATGTCTCGAGGACTCCGAATCTATATACATATATTTCCTCGCTAATCCAAAGGATAACGAAATTGTATATCGTAAAGCACGTGTTTATACATACAGGGTGTAAATTTGAGAACTTCCAATGCGAATATCTCGCGAAAGAAAAAGGCGAGAAAAACGCCGTTTGGCAAAAATGCTAAAGAGTTAAGGGGAACTAGAACCACCATATTTTGGTCAAGGGATGAGTCACCCCGTCGGCGCGACACACCCCAACTTTGAAATGTCAAATGGCACTACCTTTTTTGTGATGCCTCAAATGAACAGTCTCAGTCAGTAGTATTCACCTGTACAAGACTTTTTTTCCACCCACTACAGGGTGTACGAAAAATATAAAGTCGAATAAAATAAAATGAATTGTGTTAAAAGGATATTTTATTTGATCAGATGTTCAAAATGGATTCCATTCTGTTGTAAGCAATAGTATAATCGATGTTTAAATGCCATTCTAACATTTTGGAACACATCTCTTGGAATATATCGGCATTCTGCATTTTATTTTATTCGACTTTATGTTTTCTGTTCACCCTGTAGTGGGTGGAAAATAAGTCTTGTTCAGGTAAATACTACTGACTGAGACCGTTCATTTGAGGTATCACAAAAGAGGTAGTGCCATTTGACATTTCAAAGATGGAGTGTGTCGCGCCGACGGGGTTTCTCATCCCTTTACTCAAGTATGGTGGTTCTAGTTCCCCCTAACTCTGTAGCATTTGTGCCAAACGGCGTTTTCTTTCCTAACTGTTTTATTTAGCGAGATATTCGCATTGAAAGTTTTCGAATTTAGACTCTCGAATTAATGTTTTTCGTACACCCTGTAGTGGGTGGAAAAAAAGTCTTGTACAGGTGAATACTACTGACTGAGACCGTTCATTTGAGGTATCACAAAAGAGGTAGTACCATTTGACATTTCAAAGTTGGGGTGTGTTGCGCTGACAGAGGGTGACTCATCCCTCCACTGAAATATGGTGGTTCTAGTTCCCCTTAACTCTTTAGAATTTTTGCCAAGCGGCGTTTTTCTAACTTTTTTATTTCGCGAGATATTCCCATTGAAAATTTTCAAATTTACACCCTGTATAAAAAAGACTTTAACAGAACCGCACTAGGTATAGCTGGTAGCTATGGATAACGCGTTTTTGATTGAGAGAGAATAGGTACCTACCTAGGAATTGCATTATTCATTGAACGATTGGAAGTCATAGGTGGCTTGGAAACGAGTTCATTGCTGGTGATGAGTACCTACCCCACCTATAGGGCCAACAAAGAAGTAACTCCTATAGAGTAACACAAGCAGGTATAACCTCCTGAAAAAATACCTAACAAATATCCTCAGGCCGCGAGCATGCTATGATAGATGACAAAAGTTATGATAGGAGGAGAATCCAACAAAATCGCGCCAGAGAAGAAATAGACATTGATGGTTTTGACTCCTAGTGTAACACGAGCTGGTTCAACTTGAAAAGTAATATAGGAATAGAATTGATAATAGAATGGCGCCTTATACAGTAAGAGGTTGTCAGCTATAGCTGGTGCATTTTGAGTGATAAGAAGTAGGCATTGAAGGTTTTCATTTGGAGATCATAAGGGTTTGGAACGAGTTCATTGCTGGTGAGGAGTACGTCGTACCTTACCTAGGGTCAACAAAGAACTAAATACTAGTGTAACATGAGGAGGTATAACCTCCTGAAAAAAATACATAACAGATATCCTTACGCCGAGAGTATGCTATGACAGATAACAAAAGATAATATACTAGCGAAGCAATAAGATAAAGAGCAAGATAGGAGGAGAATTCAACAGAATCGCGCCATATAAGCATTTTTAGTGTGATGTGATAGTGGGTATTGAAGGTTTTCATTAAACTTTTGATGGGTACCATACCTAGGGTCAACAAAGAAGTAACTCCTAGTGTAACACGAGCAGGTATAGCTTCCGGTTTGATCCAGAAGGAGATCCAAGACATGACGACTATCAGAGCTGATGGTATGTAGGTGTGGAACAAGTGATATCCCAATCGTCTTCTCAAGTTGAAAACTATCGCCAAGCACGTGAAGTTGCCTGTAACAATATAAACTGATAGACAAATGAAGTGGTCCACGTTCTTTCAAAATCAAATCTTTTATGCGATTCTGTTCAGTGTTCTAGAAACATTTTGTGTGAATAAAATTATTTACGTTGTTCTTTTTAAGGTTCAAGATGCGACATCTACAGGGCAAAATGAATACCCCACACCTTCATATACCTAAAACAATATTTTCACAGAGTGTGTTTTAACGAATATTTGATTTTGAAAGAGGGTGAAATGTTCAGGTGGAACACCTCATTTTCATTTACATCTATCAGTTTATTGAATTTGAATACTAAATTGTAATATATCGAAGACTGGAACCTTTGGCACGATAATACACTACACTGTTTTACCACTAACCAAACCGATTTATTAACGCCTCGACACGTGTTTCGCTAACTATGTTAGCATCTTCAGGAGAAGATTAAAACTCATCAGTTTTAATCTTCTCCTGAAGATGCTAACATAGTTAGCGAAACACGTGTCGAGGCGTTAATAAATCGGTTTGGTTAGTGGTAAAACAGTGTAGTCTAAATTGTAATGATGATAATAAATAAATGTTCCTTACACAGAATGTACTCATGGGCGCTGCTTTTTTTTAAGAGGACGTAGAATTCATTGAAATATACAGATCCACCAAATATCGCCTCAATAAAAGTTGCTTAATAACAGAAATGTAATCAATTGAACATTTCATACATTAAAAAAAATCTTTGTTCTTCCATTAGCCAATTGATTCCCTGTCCCCATACTACCGTTCATAGTAGAATTTTGTTTGTCCACTTCTAGTCATCGGATCCTCTCTCAATTATTTTTTCTGTGCATTGTCAAACAATGTAGCACGTGTACGAAAACAATTAACTTGTTTACATGCATTTGATTCAAGGTAAGTGTCGCCAATTTCGTTAATTTAGTGCAAAGGTGTTGTGACACAGGGTGTTTGAAGGAACAAAGAGGAGGACATGTCGAAAGGCATATGTACTACCCAAAATGGTGAATATACCAGGACCGTATAATAGGGCCAACTCTATGGGTAAGTTTTTGAACTTCGTTATGTTGCAACTTTTATAAGAACAACTCCTGTTGATATTTCGTCTATTTCGATGAGTTCTACAGTCTGCTGAAAAATTTCCAACCTTTGAAAATATTCTATATAGCATTTAATGCGTTGATTATATCTTTCTGTTTTCTTACCTGTGGAATATTCAATGGTACAATCGGTTGTATAATTATTGGAAATATCTAATTGGGGCAGTTCGATTTCAGGATTGACGACTAAAGGATCCGTCATATTCCATATAAATACCAAGTCATGATCTGTGTGCGAAACTGAAATTAGAAAATGTATTATGTCTCTCTCTCTCTCTCCCTCTCAGGGTGAATAATGATGTTATGAATCGCTTTTGCTTTGCTTATAAAAGGAAATTACGTTTTCAATGACCTGTATTTGATGGTAACGTACAACGCCTGGTAATGATTTATATTTACCGTCCTTCCGTATCAGCGATTCATATGAGTGCAGCCGGCTATGTGATGGAAGTACGGTGAATATAAATTCTTGCTAATGCTTCAGCAAAATCATTCAATATCAATTTTTCAACGGGTGATGCAAAGACTCCATTATTGAAACTATATGAATAGATTAGTTGACATGATACCGTCACAGTTTTCTGTTCATAAATAATATATCTACCTTGAAAATTATTTAGTGACTACTTACGACTTTCAATCATCATTGAGCAAATTTGAGTATCGTGGGGATACGTTTCGAATTTCATTGCGCAGGAGAGCACCAAGGTTAACCTGAAAAAACCTATAAACATATAAACGAACTTGCAATTTCGGGAAAAATATGCTTTAGCATTATGAAACTATCATTGAAATAATCTCAAGAATTTTCCATCAAATTGGAAGCATGGAGAATATTTCAATATTTTGCAGATGTTTATTTATCACCCTGTACAACCATATGTCCACCATGTATTTTCATCAGCAGTCTAGTTGTAATATACCTAATGGATTTTCCTTCAAAATGAAGAAAACCACACCCGAATATATGCAATTATCGTGAAAATATTCAAGGTTGAATTTAGTACATAAATGTGCGTGTTGCAGTTCAACTGATTTGCAATATCAATATCAATTTCAATAATAGAATTAACTAGAACTAGATCTCATAACTAAGAGATGTAGGATGAACAGAGATGCCTAGTTCAATGAATAGGTTTATTGGAACTTCCATTCAAGTAGTCAGGTAGTGCCACCTGCCAGCAGAGTGTTTTACTTGAAGTAGTACTCTGTAATGTGTAGACGTAAGGGTCTCCACATGGAGACTATAGATGGCAGTGTCATGCTGTGTACGGTACAGTGTATAGAGTCACTGTAGTGTGAAGTGTGTATGACTGGACTTAAGTTTTTTGGTTTCCACGAAAAGGGATATCCTGTAATGTTCAGAAAACATCGTGAGAACCAAGGGAAAAAGGGTAGGAATTGGTGTTCTTCTTAAATTTCTGGGGGATATATGCCTCGTGGAACACCTCCATTGGCAATGTGTTCCAGAGTCTCGCTGTTCGTTGGATGAACAAGTCTTTGGAAAAAGATGTTCTGCAGGTCTCCAAAGTGACCACGAAGGGGTGCGAAGCCCCATCTCGACGGGTTAATCTCGCGGGGACTGTCAAGGGAGGAACAATTGTTGATATTTCAGAAGAGCATCGTAGATGAAAATATCTATAAAGTAGAGCCAGATCGCCAACTTTTCTACGGTGTTCCTGAGAAATAAGTGAGTTTGTGAGCGTTACGAATTGCCCCATTTTGGACAGAATCCAACAGTTTCAGGGTATGTTTGGGTGCTGCACAAATATGGGAACAGTATTCCAGGACAGGTCGGATCTGTGCCTTATAGATCATGAGCAGCTGACTGGAAGTGAAATAGCTCCTGGCTCGAAACAGAAAACCAAGTTTCTGGGATGAACTTTTAGCAATTGATCTCACGTGATTTTCCCAAAAAAGATTATTGCTGATATATATAGTAATATCAAGCATCGAAATCGATGTCTTTAAAGGTATATGGTTACTCCTGACAAGCTTATGTTGGGCACAGTGAGATCGGCTTTTCTAGAGAAAAGGTATGCTTGTGTTTTGTTCGCATTAAAATCTACCAAGTTATTGGATCCCCATTCGGGAATTGTTGCCAAGTCCATATTTATGTTGTCAACATTTCTCCCCCCTGTTCGTTTCTGATTTTGTTGGCTGGTATTGGAGCCCTGGAAGAGAAGGCGGTATGGAGGGTACTATCATCCGCGAAGCTGTGTACTGGACGTGAAGTTGCTTTCAACGAATCGTTGATATGGAGTAGAAATAGTGTTGGTGCTAGAATTGATCCTTGCGGAACACCAGCATATATGGTTGAGTAGAGAGTCAGATGAAACTCCGTCGACCACTACATGGAGAGACCTGTTTGAGAGAAAACTAGCTAGCAGAGAACATAGCTGGGGAGGCAAGCCATAAGATGGAAGCTTGGCGAGGAGTCCGTGATGGTGCCAGACTCGATCGAATGCCTTGGAGATATCAAGTGCCACGGCTAAGGTTTCACCATATTTTTCAATAGATTGCTGCCATATATGTGAGACGTAAGCGAGCAGGTCACCAGTTAATCTCTGAAGACGGAAGCCATATTGCCTATCATTGATAATAACTGAATGCTCCAGGTATTTCATGAGCTCGATGTTGATAGCTTTCTCCATGATTTTCGAAATAATATATAGCAGTGCGATCGGTCTGTAGTTGCTAGGTATTTTGCCTTTTTTAGGAACTGGTTATACTCTTGAAATTTCCCAGTTGGGCGGAAATATCCCCAATTCGTAAGGGTAGTTGAACAACTTGCAGAGAACAGGTGTTAGTTCGGGATCACATTTCTTGAGGACAATCGGTGGGATTCCGTCGGAGCCACAAGCTTTGTTGGTGTTGAGACTCAATAAAATCTTCCTTATAGTACGTTGGCGAAAGGTGATCTCGGGCATATGACTGTCAAATGGCGTTATGTTTGGAGGTTGTTTTCCCGATGAATTCAGAGTGGAATTTCCAGCAAATAAATGCGCAAAAACGTTGGCTTTCTCCTCGGCAGTTGTGGTTAGTGTTTTATCTTCCTTGGTTAGAGGAGGAAACGAGCTGGAAGTGAAGTGTCTTCCTATAGCTTTGGCGAAGGACCGAAATGAACGGGATCCGTTAAGACATTCAACAAGTTTTGATCTCATTTTGGCATTATAAGCATCCTTTGATGATCGAATTGTCTGATTGCATATGCCTCTAGCCTCGACATATTCTGCTCTAGTCTCAGGGCATGGATTTTTCAGCCATCGATGGAATGCTGCCTGTTTGGAAGCGACAGCTCTAGAGCAGTTTCTACTGAACCAGGCCTTATCTGAAGATGTTCTTGCAGTGTTCGGTATGTAGGTTGGCATCCCCAACATGATGATTTCAGGAATTGTCTCAGCACATTATGTTGGATCTGCAGGAAAAACAAACTCTCTTCCATGGAAACGCTGAAAAAAACATACGAAGACCTTCCCAGTCGGCCGAATTGTAATGCCACACGAGACGGGTAGGAATTGTGGTGCTGGATGGTACATGGAAAGAGCAGGTTGTGGAGATGAGGGTGTGGTCAGAGTTTTCAAGTGGGGCACAAACTTCTAAAAGATCTAGTGCTGTTGACATCTGGCATATGTGGGTTGGTAGTTCGACTGCCCAAACTTTTATTCTATATGGATCAGGATTGCTGGTGAGAAAAAGATCTAGTGTATTGGCAAACTGGTTGTTGACATCTGGAATGCGGGTTGGTAGTTCGATAGTTGTTCTAGACCATGAGTGATGGCGAAGACCTGTATCATCTGTTTTGTTAGAGAATTTGAGCCAGGCTGCGTTGTGTACATTGAAGTCTCCCATGATTATGATTTCTGCTGTTATGGATGGTTCTCCTGAATGAATCTTAGAACTATCGCCACTAGGTGGTGATTACATGACTACATCATCATTATATGACCCTGCGTCATCAATAATAGCTATTGATACACCAAGGTAGTAAAAAATATCATTACCCAGAGTCCAAGATAGCCTCGGGATTTAAGTTCCTGTGGTGATAATATTCTCCACTACCAAGTTGTATTTTTTCCACCACTAGCAATATAATTCAATCATTATATAGTTCTGTGAACTGAAATATGGACCTATTAACAATTGTCACTATGAAAATACTTCTTCTCAATTCTAATTAAAATCTAGTAGCCATGACCATGTCAGCATGTGATAAGTTGTTTTCGATAAATACTTACTAGATTCGAGTGCCATTCCTGTGAATCTCGCATCAGAATAGTGAATTCGGATAAATTATAACAGAGGTGGCCATGTCTTTATTGACTAATAGTTTAGTTCAAATTATACGAAAACTTCCTTGGAAGAAAACACGACACACTTCACGCCTTGAAAAGGAATAAATAATATGGTAGGAACTATTATAGCTGGTAGTGGAAAAACAAATATCTATCACTTACTTGGACATGTAGAGGAGGGTTTTGTCGTGGTACAACCAGAGATAGTGATTCGGAATGGTCATCTCGTGAAAAGTGACACTTTTGGCGTTCTTGAAAAAACAATCCGGCCTCCAAATGCTGTGCAGCCATTCCACGTCCAAAATGCGGTATTCTTCGCTCATATTTTCGGGAAGTCTTAACCTCGGATCTCGCCAACTCTGAGCGAGGAATATGTCTGTGACGTAAGTCTGAAATTAAACGAAAGTTTACCCTATCCAGGATTTCTCAAGAGAAAGCTGATCATGTCAGTACCCAAAAGACAGAAACGCAAGTTGAAAAACAGCGTTTATTTTTAGAAACCACCGCACCATCCCCAGTCACATCCAGTTCCCCTGTATTAGTACACAACTTCTCCAATACACCACTAGATCGACCCACTGAACTGCTGTCCAGGGGATTCAATTTTTTCATCACGCCAAATAAAGTCCCAACGGGAACTATCATCACTCAAATAGAAAGTGCAATAACTCATCTGCCAGAGAAGGTGGCTGATAATAAACAAGACAATATTTATTTATTTAATTATTTATTTATTTATTTATTTATTTATTTATTTATTTATTTATTAATTTATTTATTTATTTATTTATTTATTTATTTATTTATTTATTCATTTATTTATTTATTTATTTATTTATTTATTTATTTATTTATTTATTTATTCATTTATTTATTTATTTATTTATTTATTTATTTATTTATTCATTTATTTATTTATTTATTTATTTATCTATTCATTCATTTATTTATTTATTTATTTATTTATTTATTTATTTATTTATTTATTTATTTATTTATTTATTTATTTATTTATTTATTTATTTATTTCTTACACTGTTCAACTTCAACAGGTTGCCCCATTTACAGAACAGGAAAAAAAGGACAAAACAAAAATATGCATTGCATATTACATAAGCATAATGGATAGACGAAACAATATGACAAAATGAAAATATCCTGACTAAGTATCTAGTTATTCACTGATGAAGGAGAAAAAAGTTTTGATATGAGTTATTCCACAGCTGAACAGATCTATATTCCTAGCAACCAAGTTATATGTACTACACATCTTATACAAGGGTGAATTTTTATTTATGTTGGTTCGAGGAAACTCTAAGTAGAACGTATCACAATTTCTGGAAGATAATCTCGGGATAATAAAGTTCAATTTTTCCAACAAATCTGCACAGTCAATTAGATTGTTAACAACCTTATAAAGAACCAGGATAGAGAAGTATTGTCCTCTTACGTGCAGGCTCACGAATCGGAAAGTTTTTAGAAGCTCTCCATGAGGTGTACCAATTGGAGGATATGTACCGCATGACCTGTAACTTAACAGTTTTAAAAACCGTCGTTGCAGACTTTCAAGCCGATCAGTATTGTTCCGATAGTATGGGCTCCAAACAACCGATGCATATTCAATCTTCGAACGTTTAAAACAGTAGTACAATTTCTTAAGAGTATCTATCTCTTTAAAATCACGACTGTTGTGTACTATGAACCCGTATGCTCGAAATGCAGATTTCAGGATTGAGTCAATATGATCATTAAATGATATAGATTGATCAAATATAACGCCAAGATCTTTGAATGTTATAGGTCTCAGAAGAGAAATGTCACCAATTGAGTAGATGTCGCAACCACACTTAGGATAGCGAAACTTCCACCATCTAATATCACACCTGCTGAGAAAAGATGTCTCAAAAACCTCCATCATAACCCAGACATAATCATTCTCCCAGCTGATAAAGGCAACGCCACGGTAATTATTGAATACCTCAGATACTATATCGAGAACATGAGAACACTCTTAGATTCCTCCGAATACAAAACCACTCCAAGAGACCCGACATTTTACTTCGAGAAAGAGACCAAAACTCTCATCAATAATTCCAATCTATCGGCGGAATCAGAGAAAATTACAATCCCTAGAGAAAAATCATCACGCACCCCTCGTATTTCGTATTTATGGACTAGCCAAAATCAAAATACATAAACCCGATATCCCACTGCGCTCCATCGTCAGTGCCTTTGGATCACCAACTCATAATCTCGCCAAATATCTAGCAAGTACTCTTCAACCTCAAGCTGAGGAATCTTCATCATATGTGAGAAACTCATTCCACTTCATAGATACTCGAAAATCTTACAGAATCCAAAGCACCGACATCCTTGTGAGCTTCGACGTAGTATCGCTATACGTTGCGGATATCCTCAAATCCACAAGATACCAAAAAGCACCCTTGATCTCATTAATTATCAGAATTTTTCTACTAGATTGTTTCGGTTTTTCAGGCAGCTCTGGGGGGTCTAGACCCCATAAACCCTCCCCTTGATTATGCCAATGGGGAGTAGTGCATCTATATTGATGATGTCACCAAAACGTTGGGTGAAGGCTATATGCCTCAAAGCTAGCTCTACGGTAGCCATATTGGCAGTGCCGGATTCATACTTTTCATAAGTATGGGCCACTTCATTCGCGCCGCCGCTTATATAATCTTTAGTAGAAGTTTCAACAGGAATATTTTTTTTACCTTGTTACATTCTCACTACTGAGATCAATTGAGTTAGAAGGAGGTGAGACGGATCTGAGTTGTCGATTGAATAAAAAGAAAACGTTTTTATTTGTCGTGGTCAGGAAGGGCAAGAGAAGAAAACATAACCCAACATATATCTATAATGAATCTATTGCAAGAAACATTTCAAACTTGGTATATGTATTATTTCACCTGTTTTATTCTGCACTAGAATCGAATTCCCGTCAATGATATAAGCATTATTTCCGTCTGTGATCACATCATTATTATTATCTGGCCTGTTGGACTGCATGCTTCAGCCTTCAGCCTTAGAATTGTGATAATATGTCTTTATTGGATTTAATTATCAATATCAAGGACCTTTGGAAACAAATTCTTCATTTTTTTTCAAAGGATTTAACCTGTGGAATGGAATTTCAAAGCAATTTTCAGCACAGAACCACAGAAATACTAGAATTAATCCAGTCTCACCTTTTTCTCACTACAACACCAGATGAATAGCAAGCTCAGTTGGGGTGAGGGGGAAGAAATAGTCTCAATAAGTTCTGAAAACAACTCACGAACTCAACTCATCAGACTAGATAAATGAAACATGTAAGTAATACAACTGAGCTATTGAACTGTACTGAGAATCTTGGTTAATCCCAGTCAAAGTTGGTAAAAAGAATATTGTATACGTATCACTTACTTATAGGGCGTTATTAGGTACCTACCATATCAGGACCAGATCAGAATCAGATTAGACTCAGTCCAGATCATACTCATACACAGAGAAAAACGGTCCAGGTACACAAGTACACTTGAGTAAAATTTAATACCCACAAATATATTAATGAACTTTTGTACCATTACAATAGGTGAACATTTTTTTCTGATATCGACTTCCAGTGGCAGGTTAACTATGCTCCTGGAACAGGCCAGGCCATCTTTCTAGTGCTTGATTAATTCTTATCGATGTGTTTAATACTCAGTATACAACAATCCACCTAACATTAATATAATTGTCCCTCAATCCTTGTTTTCTATGAGTGAAAGGAATAATTCTGCCATTATTACCAGTTTAATAACAACAGGTAACAGTTCACTTGATTTCTCTGTTTCGTCATCATTCGGCTAGTTTCGAATACCCACGATTATGCCACGAGCTGACTGCGCAACTCTTCTGCACTTCATTCCATTGATGAACTCAGTCTGTATCTGTACTAAGAATATGTACCTTTGGTGTTTGCGAACACTTATGCGTGCCTTTTTTTATTCTGGAACATTTGTGTTGTGCATGTAAGTTAAGTGATTGTGACTATTCCAAAAACATTTCTCTCAGTGACATTATCACTATGGAGCGACAAGCCCCAGGTCGAGAGTTGAAAAATAGAAGCAGCATTTATAAGCAGTTCATTGACGACACTTTGGAACAGCAGGGTTTGGCGAAGTTTACGCAAAACTCTTCTTTCTTTCTTGGTGAGTAATATACCATTCCTTTTTCTCCTTGCATGAAGAAATCTTTTTGGGCACAAACGTTTTTTAGTGATATATGTTTTTCTCCTTCCGAAAATGATTCTAAGCCCTCTAGTTCCTTATGTTGGTTGATCATTTGCAATTAATTGTTTCATCTGATATTATATGTCCGTTTTATTCGTGGTTCGTGCCATTTATTTTTCATTTGAAGAGGTTATATTTTGAAAATATCTCCTATTTTGGTTGTGACCTCTCAATATTTTCATCGAGTGTGCTCTATAGTGTCGAAATTTCAGTAGGAAGTCACTTGTTAAGTAGTTTAAATTTTGTTGAAGATCAAAGAAATATATAATCTCAGAAAAATGAATGAATTGTTGATCTCAAGTTATTACCGAAACAGAGGAGTTTTTATGGTTATATATCACAAAAGCCGAGAAATAAATTGGGAAATATCAAGATGAAAAGACTCTCTACTGTGAATGTTTGCAAAAAATCTTATTTCTGATAGTAGGTACACGGGAAAAAATTTCAGGAAACGGATCTTGATTTTTCTTATTCGGTTTCCCTGGATTTGAGTCAAAGTAAAGTTTTATAAAGAATGGCCTTACTTGGATGGGCTCACGGGACGTTCGCTACCTGTTGAGAGTTTATTCTTCCAATGAATCTCTTGAAATAGGATTATTTGTTTGAATTTTCAAGAAAATAATAGGAGAAATTTAACACATTATATAAAGGAATTTTCAAATTTCAGGGTGCTGATAGTAATGATGTACCTGATTAGAACTTGATGCCACTTGATCTAAATTCAAGAGGACCTAGTACCCCCGCGGCCCGCAGATACTCCATCAACGTCTGACATATATTTGTATATGAGTCAGTTCGACAACTATTGTATATTGAAAATAATTATTTCAAGTTCATTTATTTATGTAGTTTGTACTGAAATTACAAATGACTAGAATATTTTATATAATGTACCTATACTTTGTACAATGTTTTTTCTTTTCTATAGAATCACCATCCCCATTGTGTGATACCTTGAAAATATGAAATATTTCTTGCTCCAATATTCAACAATAAGCACATATCCAAATTGAACGATATGCAACAGCTTTCAAAAATTGATTCTGTAATGTTGATAAATGATGAAAAGTTAACCAAAAATGATACCTAATGATTTGATTTTTCTCATTTAT